AAAACATGCCAAACCTGTACATTTATTTGCTGCATTATTTCATGTATATCTTCCACTTTCTCGACGATCTCCCATGGTATTCTCCAACTCCCACTAATCATGTTTTTTTAAGCTAATGAATTTGTTTCCAATTTCACTTGCCTTAAACCACTTTGTAAACAAAACTGTAATGCCTTCCACACCGATGTTACCTCCGCCACCATATTAGCGGTCTCGCCTATGCTTTGAGCCTCCGCATATATAAGGTCTCCATTTTTGTCCCTTATACATTATCCATTTGCACTCCTCTCTAGGTTCCCTTTGCTAGCTCCATTCGTATTGCAAGTCACCCATCCCTCTGTTGGTTTCATCCATCTGACCACCTGGTAATGTAGTGTTGCCTTGTAATTCTGTAGATTGTCCACCATGTGTGGCCAATGGTATGCCATACTTTTAATCCATGGAAATTTTGTCCTTACTAACTTATATATTAGCAATTGACATTGATAATACATGTTGTTGTAAGTTACTTATTTTCCATACTTAATAGAATTTCTCCGCTTCCACAATTCCCACATAATTACTGCTGGAACAACTTTCAGAATTTGTTCCAACTTATTTGACGCCTTATGTTCCCACCATTTGAAAATGAGTTGTTGTAAATTCAACCCATTTATATTTAAACCTGCACATGAAGCAAACTGCTTTCATAGCTTTTGGGCTATGGGAGCTGTTAGTAATAGGTGAGTCGTTGTTTCCATTTCCCCTTCCATGCGACAGTAATATTTGGACACCACATGTATTTTCATCCTCTTAAGATTATCATCTGTAGCAATCTTCCTCCTCCATACTCTCCACAAAAAGAAACTAATCTTGATTGGCATTCCTCTAATCCACATGTACCTTCTCCAATCCTCTTCTGCCTTTCTACCTCTCACTAGATGATACGCTGATTTAACAGTAAAGAGACTAGTCGTATTACCACTCCACCACGCCTTATCAATGTCAACCTCCGATGTTTTAGGCCTGATGTTCAATACTATATGCTCAGTCATATCCTCTGATAAAATACTCCTTAGTTTTGGCTCATCCCACACTCCATTTATAATGAAGTCTTTTACTTCAAGTTCCTCCTCTTGTGCCAGATCCCCTTCTGTATAATATAACGCTCCTTGCCTAGTCCAGTTGTTAAATCAAAAGCTGGAATTTTCAACTTTTATTTGCCGCCAAATGTCTTTTTCCACTTTCTCTTTGACTGTGATCATTTTCCTCCATACATGTGAAGCACCCAAGCTTATGACAACCACATGATGTAGTTTCTTACAATATTTGTTCCACATGTACTCTGCCCATAATGATGTTGTAGAAACTCGAAAGTTTCACCAAAGCTTTGCAAAGAGAGCTTTGTTTAGATCATGTAATGATCAAAAACCAACTCCTCCCTCTACCTTTGGATAACATAAATCTCCCCATGCCACCCAGTGCTTTCCTTTTATTCCTCCCAAATTTCCCCAAAAAAAATTAGCGAAAATTTGGTGTATTTGATCCAAAACCTTTCTGAGTGGGTTCAAAGCTGATAGCATATACACATGCATAGATTGGAGCACATTGTTGATAAGTATCCATTTTCCCCCAAATGTCAAAAATCTGTTATGCCACATTAAAATTCTTTTGACAATTTTCTGTACCATTTTCGCATAATAGATCGATCTCCTCCTTCCATAGAACACTGGACAACCCAAATAAGTAAAAGAGAAATTTTCTTGTTGTATCCCAGTCAACCTTCTCATTCTAATAACTACTATCAATGGAGTATTGTCATGAAGGTAAAAGAAACTCTTTGATTTGTTAAGATTTTGCCCAGACACCATTTCATAGTCCTTAAGAATCCTCATCATTTTGATTATTGAACCTTTGTCTCCTGACCCAAATAGAATTGCGTCATCAACATATGATAAATGATTTATCTCCGGACACCACTTCGGGAGCCCATAACCCTTTATTGTCTCATCCCTATGCAAGATGTTTAACCCCTGGATAACACTTCTGCAACAATTATGAATAAGGTAGGTGACAAATGATCACTCTGTTTCAATTTTCTTGATGATTGGAAAAAACCATGAGTAATGTCATTTACTAACACAGAGTACCAATTGTTAGAAATTAGCCTCCACACCATATCTATTATCACCTCTGCAAAACCAAATTGTTTCAACACTTTTGTGAGACAAATCCAAGAGACCCGATCGTATGCCTCAGCCATATCTAGCTTCACCACCACATTAACATTTTTATTTCTCCTCTGTAATGCTTCTTCCTTTAACAAAACCTGATTGGTTTTGTGAAATAATATTTGGTAGAACCAATATCATCCTTTCATGTACCATTCTAGAGATAATCTTATTTATAAAAGAACTGAGACTTATGGGTCGCACATCTGTAAATCTCTTTATTGATTCTTTTTTGGGCAGCAACACTAAATTTGTATGGGTTATGAACTTGGGTAGCTCTTGCCCACAGAAAAAGGCCTTCACCACTTTTGTGATGTCTTCCCCTACTATCTCCCAACAACTTTGAAAAAAATGACCTGTAAATCCATCTGGACCACATGCGCTGCTCCCACATAAAGCAAAAACCACATTCGTCTCTTTTTTAAAATTAAAAATAAAAAAAGCGACGGACGGCGTCGCATTCTTCAAAAAAAAATAAATATTTTTTTAAAAAAACAAAAGCAACACAGTCTGTCGCTTTTGGAAAAGTGTCGAGCCAAAAAGCGACGAGATTAATTGCGTCGCTTTTGGCCAAAAAAGCGACTCAGTCAGTCATTTTTTGGCAATTTTTTAGTAGTGTATGCTTTCGTATTTTCAGTCTTGTATTTATATTCTCTTATGTTGAGATAATACTTTTGAAACTTATTCAGATTTATGATTCATTTCATTTTGGTATGTTGTTATCTTAGTGTCATGCTATCTCAAGTGGCTTGTTTAGGGTCTATCAGGTTCCTATTGATCATGTCGCGTCTACAGGTAGTTTAGATTGTGCAGAAGCATCCAGGACAACTCACCACTTTCTAATGCAACTGTTCATAATTGAAAGAAGACTTTTAGCTAGTTTCCTACCGAATAGGGTTAGTCCTTTTTGAAAACATTATTCAATGTAGATATATATACATCCTCAAAATCAAGGGGAAAACAATGTATTAATGTAAAATTTTGTTTTCAAGTAAGTATGTATTAGCATGATGGTACACTCGACACTACAAGGTTACTCTCGCCATAACAATGAAACAATTGCTAGTCTAAGACATAGATTAGTTGTTGGTATCATTGCTTAGGTCACCCACCAGTCGAAGACTCAAAACTCTTCTTCGAAAGCAGATGCCAAATCTTAATTTGGTATCTAAAGCTTCTTGCACTTATGCTCCAACGTTTCTTAATTTATCCCTCAATATTCACGGCAACCAATCTACACCCAATACACTAATATGAGAATGTAGAATTAAATTATGAAATTAGATATGAGGCGAACTCGGCAAAAGGTTAAAAAGGGGAAAATAAGTATGATCGCATACGTTGGTGCCATTCTATGCATATATAATCATTCAAAACACATGTAGTAAAAACAATATCCAGCCCAAGCTAAGTACTACAACTCCTTCCTAATAGTTGCAAAGACCCTTGTTAACTTGTGATAGTTATCAAATTTTTAGAATTAGATATGACAAGTCTAATTTTTTTAAGGGAACCTTTTGCATATAGTCACGCTCCATATCTATGGTTTGCTAATTACATTCGAGCTACATGTTATAGGGAGGAGAGCAGCAAGCGAGATTGGGAGAGGGAGGAGAGAGGGTTATAATTTGTATAATTCGTAGGTACGTTTATGTAATTCATGTTTTTTTTATTTATAATTGAGTAATATAAAGTCTGGAATTATACAATATAGTAGAACTCGAAATAACAAATTGATACAAACATAAACATATGAACTTTAAACAGTTGTACAAATTATATTCAAATTACATTATATAAATTATATTATACAAAATCCAAAAACTACACGTTTATACAAACTTTAAAAAGTTATACACAAAAATATTGAATGTATATGGTGACAAAACAAAAAAACCAAAGGAAATCATCGTCATATACAAATACAAATCAACGAAAGAATTGTTAGTTGCGAATTATACAAATGTGGTGAATTATACAAACGTGACTAATTATACAAACTCAAAGTCAATCCACATAATTAATGGTTAATATTAGTCGCTAGTGGTAATTATAACTAACTATAGCTATGATGACTAATTAAGTAGTAAAAGTTTCTTTAACCGCATAATTTTCCCTTTTTGCCTTCCTTAGTTTAGGGTTAACATAAAATAAATCATACAAATAGTATAGTTGAATTTTAGACCTACAATAAACTAGGATTGCTTTAATTCCCATATTAAGGGAGAGCAGGCGAGAGTGTTTTCTTCACGCGATACATTTCTGGAAAGAAAATACATGTACCTAACTAGAATTTGTCAAATCAATCAAAAGTCACTATGAGATTGATTGTGTTGTCAGTAATCAGATGATGAAATTGAAAGGGAAAGGCTTCGTTGCTATCTATAGTGAAACATGTCAAGTATTTGCTGGTTTAGAGATTGATTAAGAGTGTCATATCATGTAAACCAATTTGCATGCTGGTTTCCAAACATCATATATGTAAATTGGTTAGATGAGAACATATTCCTTGCACATTTCAGTTTTGACAAAATTTCAAGGATATTATATATCTTGTAGAATAAACACTGAAAACTTGTCCCGTTCTCAAATGGATCAAGAATGCTTTCATTTACATTGTCTTGTTGAGAAAAGACAGTTTTGTTAAGCCATCTGAAAAATATGCTATTACAAACAAATTCTATACGATCTAACTCAAAATTAAAGGCATTGAAATAAAATACCCTTGCATTCACACCCTATTCCTTCTTTTGTAACTTATATTTATATAATAATAGTAATAGCAGGTTCCTATATATGACCTAGAGCCTTAAATTTAGTCTTCTGAGCCATATAGAATGTAATATCATATGAAACATATCAAACCTCCGAACAGGCCGGTTAAGTTCAAAATGTTTCCTTACAGCCCTCATGCCTTCCTTGAGCTTCATGTATTTGTCATCTGGAACAGCCAACAAGATGTCCTTTAGCCTTGGGATATCAGAAATGTTAACCTGTAGTGAGAATGCTTCCCAGTTTAGCACATCACTAAAAGGGAAGACATAATGATCTGATAGCATAACAGGAACACATTCCGCATAAATGGCTTCAATCACTCTTGGGCTAGCCACTTCATACCCACTAGGGCATAGGCAAAACTTGGAGCGCAACATTTCAGAAGGATAATCCATGTTCTTAGGCAATTGTTGGTATACACGAAGATGTGAGTCTTTTTCCTTCCAGTGATCAAAGAGGGTTTCCCGGATATGGCCATGAAGTCCACCAGCAAAGAATCCAAGGTAAGGCCTTGAAATGTTGGCTGGTGGAGGAGACTGCAGCTTTGGGGACACTACACCATTGTAAAGATAGATTTCAGGAAGACTGACATCTTTCTGAGGGTTGAAACCTTCTGAAGAGTTGGCATTACACAAAACCCTTATTGATGTATTGTACAGGAAATCATTGCCCTTTGAAGCAACAGGAGCCTGAAATAGGTGTAGGTAGCAGCAGGCAGACCATGTGTCAGAAGATATAATAATAAGACATAAACAAAAGTAGTAGAGTAGTAATAAATTTAGCTCACCCAATCATGGCAAGAAAGCATGAAATGATCAGCTCCATGGGTTCGATTCCAGAATGGGTATTTAGTTGATATAAGTCGGACATAATCAGAGACATACTGTTTAAGAGGTGCAAGGTTATATGAAAGAGGGACGTAAAGAAACTTAACCATCCAAGCTACACTAAAAGGCATGAAATAAACATGGGCTGAATGAGGGTCTCTTGTCCTGAATTTATTGTTACCATATTCCATCTCACTGATGAACCTTCCCTCACTTGCATATATATCTTTACACGGTCCATTATGGACTAATATGAAGTCTCCATCTTCATATACATACACCTTCAGCTTCCTCTCCATTTCCTTGTAACTCCTGCAATAATAAATATACTTACTATTTACAACATGTACAAATCATATTCAATCATACATACCAATAGTACCTACTCCCAATAAACATAATAAAAAAAAGTGTTGCTTACGTGAAATCCAAACGCTTAAAGGCCAAGCCAAATTATACTAAAACCAATTAGCATGACTTTACTCATAATTGGAAACTCAATGACACTAATCTTATTAATTTGTTTTACCTAATTATTTACAATTACTTTTTCGAGCATCATCATCACATTATTGCATATCATAACACCGACTTTCTCGTGCTATTCTTCTCCGTGCACAGCAACAAACTTTCTAACTTAGACCCTGTTTGGATTGACTTATTTTAAGGCTAGAATTAGAATAATTTTAAAGCACTTTTGGAGTGCTTATAAATTTAAAAAATCCTTAGTTTTAAGCTAAAATGATTAAAATAAATCAAAAGTCATAAGTTGGAATTTCTAACGTATGACTTTTGCAAAATCATTCCAAACAAGCTCTTAGTTATGTAGGTCCACTATTAATGTATCAACGGGAAAACAAATTAAAAATCTTTATTATATTTCTTTGTTTCCATCCAAATCCTGTTAAGGCTAGCAAAACCATTTTGTCTAATTTCAAATTTGTGGAAAATAGATCTTCAAACGTATCAAATTAACAGTTACTACTGAAAAAACACAATAATTTAGGGAAGACACTATATATCAATAAATATTTTTCATATTTCTATTTAATAATAAATATTATTAAATAAAAAAATATACTAATTCTATTAAAAGAGTAAATTGGTCTTTCAACTTTTGAGCTACTCACTTTTGCAAAAATATAGATATTATGAAAATTAGTTGTTTTTATTCATTTTCCTTTTATACGCTTAATATATTTTTAATATTCAGTAGGGTTGGTGAAAAATCATTTCCTTGGTAAAGCAACACTAATTTATTAGTTTATAACACAAACTATATAAAAAAAACATTAACTAACTACATACATAATATAATTATTTGAATAATAAGATTTATAAAATAAACAAAGAGTTGTGTCCTTACGGTAAAACAAACCTATTTAGAGAAGACACAATATAAATCAGTTATTTAATTTAAATATAAATATATTATACTAAAACGGTATGTTTTCTAAAAAATCCCGTATAGATAAGCAGACGTATTTTTAGGAGCAATGGCCAAAAATTGAGTCAAAACAAAACAATTACTTAATTTGCTAATAATGGGATTAATAAAAGTTGTTAGGATTCCTCTTATTTTTAGGAGCAATGGCCAAAAATTGAGTCAAAACAAAACAATTGCTTAATTTGCTAATGGGTTCCTTGAGATTAATAAAAGTTGTTAGAATTTCTAGTGGTAAAAGAAAAAAAGAGGACAATAATCATGTTACTTATCTATTAGGGGAAGTAAGGAAAATAACTAGTAGTAAATGGTAACGTGAGAAACTAGTCAAACGTGTATTGTTATGGAGTTGTAAATGTGTGGAGAAAAAAGAAAGAAGAAATCATATTGGAAAGGGTAAATTCATAAGGATAGGAAAGGTTGTTTTGTTTGACAGCCAACAAATAGGAAAGATTGTTTGTAAGGGGCACCACAATCCACAGTCCACAGTCCACAAGCAATGCAAAGCAATGAATGACTTTCCCACACAAAATAAAGGCAATCAAGTGCAAAGAAACATTTGAGTGTGTGCGCACTACACATACCATGCGTCAATTACAAGACTTGTACTAATTCTAGTATTATCTCTATCTTGTGTTCAACGGAGTATTTTTTCTCTTTTTAAAAATAGCTTACATCTCAATCACAATCAGTAAAGTATGAAATGATCTAATTTAAAATTACATGTTACATTCTATATATGCCGGAGTTTGGGAAACAATGATTCACAACATTTATTTAATTATGTACTAATTAAATACAATGTGTATGTTAAGTGTATTGATACTTACTCCCATTTTTCAATGTTAAGATGACTAACTAGTTCCTGTATGCCAAATCAATATAATGAACAATTATTGCGACAGGAAGGAGTAATAAATTAGAAGAGCACATACTTGGAATGTATGCTGTGGTGAGTAACTTAGAAGGAAAGTAGTTATGACTTGCAAAAAGTTCCTTCTGTTAAATTGTTTTCTATATATGAAATTCAATGAGACTTACTGATAAAACGCGCCTGCATTGCGGTAGATCCCACCAGGGTTCATAGACAGGTTTCCAACACCAGCAGCTTTTCGAATCGCCGCTCTTGCTCGTGCTAGTCCTTCCTCTATCTTATCATCTTTCCTCTGTCGAAAGTTCCAGAATCAAATCCACACACATATATATAAAATTAAAATGCTCGTCCATAACAAACGAAAACTCAAACTCAAACTCAACTTTATAGAGTTTCACATGAGAACAAATTTAAAAGCTTCAAATTATGAATCATTGAATGCAGCACTGAAAAAACTTTGATTAAGGTTATGCATTGGAAAATCAGTCAAACTTTTGGAATATATATATATATATTATATATATATATATATATATATATATATAACGTTTTCTAATAAAGCATTAAAGGAAGCTGTATCGATAAAAACAAAAAAGATAAAATTGTCGATGAAATTTAAGGAGGGGCATTGAAATTCACTCACAACAACTGTAGATTTTCTAGGAATCGGAGAGAATGAAGAGTTCCGGTAGAAAGAGAGATCGGAAGCGATGGCTCGTGATGGATTTGGATTAGCGACGGTGGCGGCGATCACTTTCTTCTGCAACTCAACAATCGTAACAGTTGCAGAATTTACAGAAGAAACAGACGATGGAAAAGGGCTTCCAGAAACGGAAAACCTAATGGATACAACTGCTATCACAGATAGAACCAGTACACAACAGAGTACACCTAAACAAGTATAAAGTAATCCGCCATCATCACCACCACTCTTCTTCATCATCATATACACTAGAACTAGAGAGAGACTAGAGAAATTAAAAATAAAAAATTCAGAGAGGCGGTTATGGCGGGGAAAGAGAAGTTGTTCTACGTTTCGATTGTGTTTGGGTTTGGGGTGAATATAAATGAACGGAAAAAAGGTGTGAAGGACGTGAGAGCTAATGAAATTGAAGTTAGTATAACTCAATTTACTTTTTACTCCTTACCCTTTATGGATATTCACAGCGATATTTTTTTCGAAAAATCCTCCTGTGGACTGCTGAACTAGTATGAACTACTAGCAAGTCATCACCTTATCATACTATTTGGACGTCTTTCTTACGTTAATCAATTAAATTATTAAAAAATAATATTAAAATAAATATTCTATCTCAAATATGACTCTTTTTCTCTTCGAATTTCTATTAAACTTAATTTATGGGATGAAACTATTAGCAAGTCATCACCTTTATCGCACAATTTGGACGTCTTTCTTCCGTCAATCAATTAAATTACTAAAAATTAACATTAAAATAAATATTGTATCTCAAATATGATACTCTTTTTCTCTTCCAATTTCTATTAAACTTAATTTTCTTTTTAGTCTGTCTGGAAAAAAAAATATTTTTATATTTAGTAATAATTTAACTTTAAAATACTTGTTTTACCAATAATTTATATCTACATAAATATCTCTAACTTGTTTTAGACCACAAATTTTAATTTATTTTTTTAAAATTTCCTTTCAAGTCAAACTTCTGTATATAAATTGGAAAGGAGGGAGTATTATTTGTTTCATCTATATTTTTTACAAATAATTTGTTGAGTTTATATTTATTTCGTCGCTTTGGCTGTTATAATAATAAATTTTGTTGTTTTTTATATTGATATTTTTTTTTAAAATGCAACATATATTTATCTATGTGAAACATAATATTTTAAAAATTACAGTTTCACTTTCAATAGGGTTGACATTAGGGGTGTTCATGGTTCGGTTTGTATTGGTTATTGGTTAAAACCAAATTCAAATCACAATTAATCGGTTTTTAAATCTCTAAAACCAAACCAAACCAAATCAAAAAAATAACCGTCGGTTTGGTTATTGTTGGTTTGGTTCAATTTTTTTGGTTATTTCGGTTTGAAAGTATCTAGTTTTTTGAGGGCATATGCATCTCGATAGACACGAATTCATAGTACATAAATAATCAGAAAAGCTATTGTAAATTTTATTAAGCAATACTAGTCATAGAACAATTGAAACAGGACTAAAAAAACTCATTACCCTGTTAGAAGACTTATATCTAAAAAGAGAAAGCAATGTATATATGTAGTGGAAAATCAATATTAGCAGAGTTGTCTTGGATAAATATATAACATGTTGAATCTTGCATGTTGTGACAACTGAGAATTTTTCCTAATAAACCAAAAAAATAATCAGTGCTCCAAATGTAAAAATCACTTAAATAATAAATTTTTGATTGAGTTAGAATTAGGATTTTAATACTTGGGCTGAAATTTAAGTGTTGGGCTTAAGAAAATAATAAAGTTAAAGACTTAAGTCAATTAAAATTTAAGAAAATATTTATATTTTATTTATGAATAATATATAAATAATTATAAAATTTATATATATAATTTAACGGTTCGGTTTAGTTATTTTTGCGGATATTCTTTTGTAAAACCAAAACCAAACCAAATAGTATCGGTTTTCGAAATTCAAAATCCAAACCTAACTAAATCCAACCAAATATCGGTTTTTTTAATCGGTTTGATTCAGATTGCGGTCGATTTGGTTGTTTAACCATAACCATGAACAACCCTAGTTGACATTATGATTTGCTTATTATCATTACAAACCACACTCTTCTAAATTATGGCAAGAAAATAATTTTCACTTTTTTACAATATATATATATATATATATATATATTTATTTATTTATTTTTTAAAAAAATAAGTATGATTCCGAAAAGAAATATTACCTTGAGAATATTATATTTATAAATATGCAATTAATATAATAACAACATAAATAGTACTAATATGACGGGGGAAAAAAAATCATGTCTTTAAATTCGCTCGCAATCGATATTAAGTCTCATTGACACGTTGCACATTAATCTTCCTTCATTAACATAAAAATATTGAAGAATCAATCAATAATATCTTATATAAATTTATCCATATATGATTGAATAACTTTTAATAACTTAACAAAGACCACAAACATATTAATGAGTGAAAAATAAAAATAAAACTAGTAATATTCATGGAATATTATATCTCGATGAATTAAATTTTCTTTTCACACTGGATATATGTAGATATAGAACTAAGAATACGAGGAGATATTCCCTAACAATTTAAAGTAGAAAGAGTTCCCAATGATTCCAATTTCCAAGTAAAAGAAAAGGGATTTAGCTCCTAAATTAAAATTTTATCATTGAAAAAAAGAAAAAGGACAAATATATTTTTGAACTATCATAAATGGAATATAAATATCATCCGTCATACTTTTGGGATTTTGGTTCCCCAACAGTCCAAAAACTAGAGTATATTTGTCCTTCACTCTAACGGAAGACCAAATAGGGACACGTGTTGCAATTCTACGGAGGGACCCGTTTGACTAATTAATTAGACCCAAAATTTAAAAACCCACCCATTTTTATTTTGGACCCAACAAATTACATGTTTTGGGTTTCGGGTGGGTTTAAAATAAAAATGGGTGGGTTTTTAAATTTTAAGTATAATTAATTGGTCAAACGGATCCCTCCGTAGGATGCGTCACGTGTCTCTAATTGGTCTTTCGTTAGAGTGGAGGGCAAATATGCTGTAGTTTTTGGACAGCGGGGGCACCAAAGTCCCCAAAGTATGACAGAGAATATCTGTATACCATTTACGATAGTTTGAGGATATATTTTTCCTTTTTCCCTTAAAAAAAAAAAAACACTTTGACCTAAAGGAAGTCGAAAGTGTTTTTCACTATTTCTTTTACAAATACTCCCCCTTCCTTTTATTTACTTGTCAATTTTTTGACTTGACACACTTATTAAGAAAATAATGATCTTTATAGTAAAATTATCATTTTACCCTTATTAATTGATAGGATTCCAAATATATTTACTTACTACATTTAAAAAAAATATTAACTTAATATTAATAAATTAAGAGTACTATAATACGAAAAACAAAATTGCCCTCCCTTAATTTGTCAAAAATGAAAAAAAATAAAAAAAATAAAATTAGAAAATATTTGACAAGTAAATAGAGACAGAAAAAATATGTTGTATAACATGGTTCAAATGATGAAGGATTTAATGTTGTCGATAAAATGCATCTTTTTACCTTAGGATTGGTTGAATTGAAAATGTTGAATATTGAATGTCCTAAAGATATAATATCAGAAAAAGGAAAAAAGAATCAAGGAAGCTTTTTGCTTATTGTTACCTTCTCCTATGTCAATTAAGGTAGGGTTTTGTGCTACTTCGAGGCAAGAGAAAAGACTTGACACACCTATTAAGAAAATCATGATTGATATAACGAGTTTACTATTTTAATCTTATTAATTGATGAGGTTTCAAATATATTTACTCACTACATCTTTTAAAGACATTAACTCAATATTAATAAATTGATGATATAATAGGGAAAAAAATTATCCTTTCTTGATTTGTCAAAAATGAACATCAAATTTGAAAAAATTGAACAAGTAAACAAGAACAAAGGGAGTAACATGTAAGGTATTTTGATTTTGCAATTTAGTTCAAATAAGGAAAGATTTGTACAAAATAACTTAAATTATAATTGTCTAATGAAAAATATGCTTTAAAAGGTAAAAGGCAAGCAAAATATTAGTCAATTTTAAAGTGTTAAATATTATAGGAGTTTTTACCTTTTACAAATAAGTAAATAATTAATAGTTATAAAATTATATTTTAATTATTACGATAATAATTAGATGACAATTATTTGAGAAAAATAGTAATTGTGTTATAAATATTATGGTGTGGATGTCCACTACACCAAGAAGTTACTATTACTAATTATCTTTATTACTTTCCTCCATTATGTAGATAACCTTCACCTTTATGATCATCATTCTTGTAACCTTAAACCTCCAAAACCTCCACCTTTTCATGATTAATGTCATGTTTATGACTAATATTTGGTATGCCTCTATGTAACACTATAATTAGAGGCATAAGAGTTCATATTGTAAATACTCGAATACTTGGAAGAATAAGAAAAACTCTCATCTCTTGTCTCTCTATTTCTATTGTTTTTATCTTCTATATTTCTTGTATTATTTTTCTTTAATTTTACAACACGTTACCAACCCGATTCTTCAATTTTTCAATGAAGTTTCAACTTGATTTTTTTTCACCCGTGATAAGAAAAAGGTAAAGATAAGGTATGTAATTTCTCCAAGTTAGAAAAAATTAGTTATTGAGTTATGTGTCATATACATATTGATTGGATCAGAGGCGGACCCACATGTAAAGGTGGGGGTGCACGCCCACCCGTTAACTTCGGAAAAAATTATGTACATATATATATATATATATATATTGAAAAATTGGAAGAAACTAAAATATAAATAAAAGTGCCCTCATGGAGAGCATAAAAGGCAGTTAGTATTGCCGGTACAAAGCGAGTGTGACCACCCACACGACTGCGGTTTGATTCCAGCTACCACTACATTTTATTATTTTTATCAACTCATAATATTGATGCACCCGTAGTATTCAAATTCTGGGTTTGCCTCTGGATTGGATCATCATTATTGATTACTTTTGTACCTATTTATTTTTCATTATCTAAACATTTACTTGTTGAGTTATTAATATATCATTTATACTAATAAAGTTTGTTTTGTGGTTATTTTAAAATAGTTAGTAAATTATGTTAATCTTCGTAACAAATTGAGAAGGACTGTTAAAATGTATATATATATATTGAAAAATTGGAAGAAACTAAAATATAAATTAAAGTGCCCTCATGGAGAGCATAAAAGGCAGTTAGTAT